AACTTGGGAATTCTGCAAGGAAAGGCATCTCTGACAGCTGTGAGTGTATAATCCTGCTACCAGTTGCATAGTGCTCTCTGTGAGTGGAATACTGTCCTGGGCCTTCCTGCCAGTGAGCATGGGATGACGTGAAACATAAGAGCTAGTGGGTTTTGTAATGTTGTCCTAATAGGTAAATACAGGGATGTATTGCAGCTTTTCTTTGTCCTTATTGAATCAAGCAATTTCTTCTGCCTGTGTTCTAACAGTTACCTGAAATCTGCATTAAAATATCTCCTTTAACTTTTTGTAAATTTTTCACCTTTTAGTTCGACGGATTTGAGGGGAAAGTCATCTTCATGTGTACATGTAGATGGTTTTAATACAGTCCCTGAAGAAAGGCTTCTGATTTATATTCTCTGCTTCTCTGTAGCTTACTTTAGATACCTGTTATTTTCTTGTTAGTCATTTTCCAGGCTAGTGCTGACTCCTTAAACTTTTCTTGTACAGGAGGCCTTATCCACATTTGAATCTTTATTCATTTATAATATGCATTTTTTTGAGACTGTAGCAAAATCAAATATGAATTTTGAACATAAGGATGATGATCGATACAACACTGGTTTATTCATTATTCCCTGTTTGAAGATGCCTCTGACTTCTAATTGCTGTTTCATATTGAGCTGGCCTAAATGGGAGTCCAAATCGAGGACATAGCTGTGTAAAGAAGTACTGATGGGATGGGAGTTCAGGGGCTTAGGTGCAAATCTGTAGCTGTTCCATTACAGCCTAATAGCAGTTGCACTTAAGGTTTGTGTAAACTCTCCAATCACTCTTCGTTCTGCATCTCTTCCTTTCTAGAAGCATATGTGTCTTCCTACAGCTGAGCAGCTTGGCACCTAACCTTCATCACGAACAAAAGTTTCAGCACTTCTGAAGGCCTGGGCTGGAGGTGGTAGGCAGTCCAAGAGTACAACTGGCTGTGGTACAGAATGGGCCACACTTTCTTTTAGAAGATGGTGGTGATTGCATCTTCTGTTGTTTTACCATAATGGCTTCACAGGGACAAGCATTACACAGGAGACTGAAAGTGCAGGTTCAGTTCACTTCTCTGCCTGAAAGGTTTAACCCCAAATCTGCTGCCTGGCTGGGCATGCTGTTTCTGATGCAGTGTTGGTTGGAACACTTTTCAGCAGTCTTGCAGAGAGGAATGGAGGGGAAGTGGCTTGGTCTTGCTGTTCTCAGGTGGGTGCTGGCACCCTGTTTCAGCCCTGAGCTGTGTGGTGTAAGGTGTTCACTTTAGGCTTGTGTAAGAGAAGCTGCAGGCTCATTGTCTCTCACTGAGACCACCTGTGGGTAGCTAGCTGCCTTAAAGGAATTTGAGGTGGCTGGTGGTCCCACTGCTCCCTTCAGGGTGCCTGTGTACCTCCTGCAGTGTTCTGAACGCCCTGGTGCTCTTTGCATCAGTCCTGATGTTGTATAGATCTGGGAAAGGAACAGAACTGCCTTCCAGTCTTTCACAAGCAATTATAATGCACTCAGAGGTGTTTTGGTGGCTTCAGGAAAGTGTGTTTTTCCCCTACTTTGTTCCTTATCTTGTTCTTGTCAATGGATTGAATCTTTTAGCCATAGCAAAAGTTACAAAGGAGACAAACTGGTTTGGAAGATAGCTTCATGGTCAGACTCAACAGATATGATGTGCATTCCAATTTATTTTCTGCATATAAATTTGAAGAACTTTCTAGTTTTTTTGAGAATTGTCTTTCTAATTCAGGTCCCTGCCTGTACACCTGACACACACACCCCCCTGACTCTGAGCAATGGGAAGTACCCTGTAAAAAGCTGGGTCCTATTTACTAGCTGAGCTAGCACTGAGACAAGATTCTGCACTGAATTCTGCCACCCCACTCTTTGGTACTGCTTTCAAGTTGCTTTGCAGATACTTAGGTATCTAGCGGCATGGGGTGGAAGTCCTACTTCTACAACAGCATTGCAGTCAGTGGTGACCAGACTGCAGTCACTTTCTGTTTGTGCATAATAGGCAGGCCACAAAGGCACTTACAGCTGTGGTTTCCAAATACGCTTAGAAGCAATGGACTTTGGGATTGTGTTTTCCTTTTACGAGTAACTGTCTTGTTTTTCATCTCCATCTGTGAGATGTATTTAGGATATGATTAAACAGAAGTACTGGACTTTGTGAACAGATGAGACTTGGGATGTCATCTTGTGGTTGTTCAAAGAAGTGCAAGAACAGCTTGTAGGGGTTGGTGAGTTTTCAGCCTCTGTATTTTACATTGAGCTGGTTTAGGTGCACATTTTTACTCTTGAGGTACATGGAGATTCGTTCTTGTACAATCCGTCAAGTGGTAGAGTATATAATGGTAGCTGTTAACAACCTTACAGCCCATTCCAGGAGTCAGGGCTTGGGGTGACTGCAGCAAGCAACCGACAGGAAGTCATGTTACCTGGATACCTGAGCATATCAAAGAGTACAGTTGCTGTTGCTTGCACCTACATGATGTCAGAGACGGAAGAACTCTGACATACAGCTGGCAAGAGACATACTGCTGTTATTTAGCCATTTTTTTTTTTTAAAAGCACTTTCTGTTTTTAGCTGTAGCCTTTCCCTGGCAGTTTCAGGCAGCTGGAATTTTGGGTTTAAACAACACATAGGTGCAGAGAAGGTAGCCTCATCAAACATTTTCTTTTTCCAGAACAGAGAAGTCATTTTAGACACAGATAATCTTTTCTGTGAAGCACAGTCTGTCTACTGGAGATTTAGTGACAGGAGTGCGGCTGAACTGGCCCTATCAGCTCACAGGCCAAAGTATTTGACAGCTTATCAGTTCAGGCAAAGCAAACTCATAGGAGAAGGAATTCCTGGGGCTAAGTTATTTCCTGTTACAAGGAAGAGTGATACCAGGCACATCCACATTCTGCCCTTTTTTTTCTGTGGCATTAAAGGATGTCTGCCTCATTTGCTGCCAACTGGAGCAGCATACAGAGCTGTCCTGGCCAAAGCGGACATCCCAGTAGCCAGTGCAGAACAAGAACAGCATAAAGTTCTTCCCTGTACAGGGCTAAATCTTTGCTAATTGTTTGAACTAGGCAAAACAACGGCTACACCAGGGATTACAGATTTGACAAGCACTGTATGTAAGTATTAGTGACCACATTTTATTTCATGTGAATGTGTTTTCTTTTGTTTGTTACTGGAGCAGGCTGGGAGACAGAATGGCTTCTCAGACTTCTCAGTTATGTTTTTAATAGCATTACTAATTGTAGTGAAACTGTCAAGCCTATGCATGCTTGGACAAAAAGGCATCTGGAAGAGGGTGAACTCGACTGAGAAGGGCAGTACCTGCCACTCTTTAAATGCTAGGTGAATAGGCTTGCTCAGATCTCAGCTCCCTTTCACAATTGTTTTCTGGGAAATGCTCTTTCAAGTTAAATGCTTTCTAATTACAACCCTCACAAGCAACATGCTTTCTTGTCTTACAATGAGAATAAGGCTGCTGTGGTTTTTACCGTCTGTCAGATTATGGCATTGATTGAGACAGATTTTGATAGTGGGTGATCAAACATTAGCTCATGCAATTTGCCAGTTATTTCTGAGGTGCTTTTTCGTCATTAGTGAAGGGACAACCCATCTGGATGGTGATTAGTTCCAGCCCTGAGCTCTCGTTCATAGGTCAAGATGCTTGAGAGTTTCATAACAACCAAAAAAATTAAGGGCGTTGTTATCTTTTTGACAGGATGACTGCTGCTTGCTCCACTCCAGCTAATGGGACTTTACATTCTGGAAATCATTTCATGCAATACCTTTACTCTAGCTTGTTCAACAGAATTAAGTCAGTATAATTTACTTATTTTGCCTGACAGGCACATGCTTATTTTACAGTTCTGTGTTCTAAGAAAGCATTAAGTGAGCCACTAGATTCGATGACAGAGATTTTTCGAGACTAATTCATTCTTGCCATTTTTTTGGGCATCTTTTTAAAGTCAGCTGAAGTCTTTATCCCATCACGAGTGTGACAATAATACAAAATGCTGATTTCAATTCGTAATATTCTGCTGCAGATTTCCTACATTTCAAGCACCAGAGAGTGTTCAGAGAAATGCTGCTGATATGGTCTTCCATAAAAGTGAGGTTGAATCCCAGACTGTAAGCTGATTTTTAGTGCAGATTATATTTTACTGTGACCAGAGAGAGGAGACTGAGGCTAAATTAAATACTTCCTCTGTGTAGATCAGATTTCAAAGAAAAGTTGGCTCTGGGTTGTGTATCCTCTTATGTTTTGGTTCAAGATAACCTCTAAATACAAGGAGTACAGTGAAACTATTCAACAAATTTCATTTACTTATTAATGTCCTAATTAATGAGTAAATTCATTAGACATTTATGCAAAAGTATTTCCTTATTCTTCACTGTAAAGCTAAAATACCTTAAACTCCAGATACGTGGCATTACGTCCTCTGAGAGACACTATATGATACCTAATGCATTGTAGTTTTGCAATAAAGAAATCTGGAAACTTGCATTTTACTTGTGGATAAGTTTATTTAAACATTTGTAAATTATACTAAGTAAACAGTCTGTTATTTATTCCTGTGTACATGCATTTGTTGCCAAGATACACATATATTGCATTGTCAAGTCTACAGTGCAGTAATTAAGAAATTCAAGCAGCATGATTCTGAAAACTTTTCTAGAAACAATATCTGACCCTTCTTTGATTGCACAATGAGGTTTCTTTGTATAAGTAATTACAAGTAGTGCTTGTTTTTCATTAAGTAAAATACAAAGTTTTAAAATGTGCCCAATAGAAAGGAATTATCAAAAGAAAGTATCCATTAAAAAACAGAAATAGCAATAGCAGGCAGCCTCCCTAGTGATTTTAATGAAAAATCTAGTTTAAAAGCAAGGAAGACAGAACTTTACCATGTGTAGATATTGCTGAAATAAAAAAAAAAAAAGGTAATGAAACATGAAGAGGGGTTTCTTGGGGGGTTTTTTTTTGGTGTTTTGTTTTGTTTTTAAAAAAACCACTTCTCATGATCCCTTGAACTTCGGCTAACCCTGGTTAAATTCTTACTTATCTATTTTTTTACAGCTCCTAATGCTAGCAGATAAAAAGGATGGAGAGCCTTGATGAATTTGGTCCACAGCCTGAGGCAAAACCTCATGAATATTTAAAAAGATGAGGTAAAAAACTCTTCTTTAAATTGGTTTCACGATCTTCATTGACAAATAGTTCTGTTGGAGAAAGAGGGAAGAAACAACAGAGGTAAAAATTTGTATGCAAAATACTTCAGTATAGTTTTTTAAAAAACATTTAAGATATTAAAGTGTATCAGAATGTATTCAGGGTATGGTAATTTCAGTTAAAATACAGTAAAAATGAGCAAATATTTCAGATTAAAACAGACTGAAATCCAGACTCTAGACCATCTATTAAATACATTTAACTAACACTCCTAAAGCATTCATTTGCTTTAGTTAATAAACCAAAAATTTTTTTGTTTAACATAGATTTTAAATGCTTCTCAATAAAAATCACCTGAATATTTTAATAGCTATCATGATGTAATCCCTATCTCCCTGCTAAAACTGAGTTGATAGAGTCTCTTGTCTGAGTAAGGTACGTGTCCTGCTGGTGCCTCACACATAGTTTCAGACTGCAGCTGAAGAACAGTAACATTTGAAGATTCTTACCGGCAGTGAATAGAGGAGCACTGCTACAAACAAGAGTAAAATGAGCAGGATGATAAGGCCTATGAAGAGCCATTTAAATCTGCGCCACACAATAAATTTCATTGTCTTGCAGGGATTTGTAAACCAAAGGAAGGAAGTATCTGGTCGGCTGTGTTTTGGAAAAGAAAAAAATTACTCACGCTATAAAACCAGGGAGTACTGCAGTGTGAGATTATAACACATTAAAACACTCTGGTTTGGAGGCTGAAGAAAACACAGATAGTTTTGTAAGTAACATTCAGTAAAATGGTAGTTTCAGTAAAGAGGTACCATTAATACTGAAACCACCTTGCATTTTATCCTAAAGTGGCAGAAGGAAGTGTGACTGGCTTTTATAAATTTAGTTTTGCAAAGGATAATTGATGTCTAATAGATCCTTTACTGCATTCAGATTTTGTCAACAGATTCACAGTAGCTAGATATTTAATTTTAAGTTAGTCAGAGAAAAGTATCTTACTTTGGTAGATCTAGTTTGGGATTCATGTTGGGTTCATCTCTTCCTTTACCAGCTGGCCTTTCCTCAGCTTCTTTTTCATTGACAACTTCCAATGTCATTTCAACTTTACCCTTCAGAAATATGTGGCATGAGATGAGCATGTTAATGCAGCAGCACTAACTGTACTTGTTTGGTACTTAGCCGAGTTTGGGATGAGCTCATTGTGCATACCTGTGTGCTTTCCATTTCCTTCTTGAAATAGACTTATTTCTGCACTATGACAGTGTCACAGCATAGTATCAGAGGATGACAAATGGGGAAAAAAAACATAATCACAGTACCTCAACTGGTTCTGCTAATTCATTTGTAGTTCTGCTCTAAGCTATACATTGTATTTTTCCAATTTAGCAAAATAAAACCAGTTCTTCTTTTCTTTTGAGAACAACCCAAGGACTACATCATTTCCAAATGACTAAGCATCTCATTTTTTGTACTACTGTGGCTGATATTGCTGAACAGTTTTCCTCATTTATTAAATTCCAGTACCAAAGTTTAAAAGCAAAAACATTAGAAAGAAGTAGATGCACTTGAAAGGCTTAATATTGCAGCATGTGATAAATATGTATTTCTAGTTTTGTAGAACAGGTTAAAATGCTTTCGGTCTTCTGATTACCCTCATAATCACAAAGCTAAGCTGAGTTTTCTGCATACAAATTATATTTGCTGTGTACAAAAATGGTTTGGATTTAATTTTTTTTCTTTAGTCCTCAGTGCATTTAGGATGTCTTGTGTTTCTCCTAAGCAATAACATGGTAAATTAATTCACATAGCAACTCTGTTGACTGGTTTGGTGAGATAACATGACTCAACCTGGTGCTAGTATCCTTTAGCTTAAAGAGAGTTAAACCCAAAATAGATAAATTAAACTCATACTTTAGACAAAAAAAAATCGATGAAGCAAAATCTCTGAACTTGTTGCATGGAATGTTGTATTTTATTCCTCCTTTGTCTTTCTACTGAAAGTTAACAGTTAAGTGGGTGACCCTTTACAGTCTTCCTTTCGTAATATGAAAAGCCAGGTGAGTGCATTTTAACTTTTAAAAGAAGGTAAAAGTCATACCGCTAGAATTCGGGAGCCTTCCTTTTCAACATAACATGGCCACCATCCTTTCATGGATTTCTGTTCAAAGAGAGAGGCAGTCCTGGGAGCCTTCTGAAAACTGTCTGCTTTGTATTCTGGGATCATGTCTATATTGCATTTCTCTGGAACTTTTGCTGGAATGATTGTTTTATGCAAATCTAGTTCCACAAAGCCTAGGAAATGGATAAAAAAACTGCATAACAAACAACCCTGCAGCACAGGGGTACAGCAACAACCTTTCCTATCTCTAAACATGTTATACAGGAAAACCAACATACACATTACATCCTTGTTTGTCTAAGGATGTAGTGAGGCAGGGAAGTAGGACATATCAGGCTGTGTTTAAGCATGATGGCTGGTGTTGATAAATTTGACTTAGCAAACTCTCCTCCCACTTTTTAAATGCAAAATCATTTGACTATTAATAGAGGCTTTTTTTCCCCCCTACACACCTAAACAGAAGACAACCAAATAACCTAATGTAATGCTAATGTAATATCTGATAGCTAAATGCCAGTTTTAGCTAACTTTGACACTGGTTATAAATCCATTATTTGTTTTTGGATTTTGAGGCCTATATGCTTTGCATGTAAGCTAAACACTTTGGAGCTGTCTTTAGTACAAGGCAGAGAATCTTCTGCAGGGAAGTATCTCTACAAAAAGTAGAGATTAATAGTGGTGTGAAGTAGAATTAATAATGGCGTCAAGTAGATTGCTTAACCTAAATTACAGCCTTATGTCAATATTCTTACTTCAAGTACTCTTGTTTTAAGTAATTTTATGTAAAGACAGAAGTAAAGTAAATTTTCATGCACTTTGTGATGGGGCTTACCTGAATGAAAAGTATCTTGGTTTACTTGCAAGTAGGCCTTTACTGAGTGAATATTCACTCATTCATTCATGAGTGCAAGTAACCATGTACTGAGTGGGAAAGCAGGTTCTGTATTTGCATGCTGAGTGGCTCACTTTGTAAACACGATCCTTATGAAATACTTAAAAATAATTCCTCTTTATCTCTTGAGATAATAATAATTCTGTTCATAGAAGTCTTACCCAGATAGTCATCCAAGGAGAACTTGTCATTATCCCATATTTGAATGATCAGTTTGGGTGGGATTCTGAATTCTGTCTTGTCAAGACTCCAAAAATGTTCCTAATATTTAAAGAAAACAAACCCAAGCACCTTTTAAAAATTATTCATGAAAATTCGAAGTTGGGGTCTGTTAGTACTTGTGAATTCTGGGGTTAGTGGAATTATTAAGGATCTAATCTTGCCCTTGCTCAGGGGAAGCTGCTGTTGTTGCCTGTGCATTGTTGCTGTCTCAAAGGCAGAATTGAATCTGTTCACAAACTCTCTCTTTCAATATGTAGGTGCCAAATTATCAGACTAATTACAATCTGTATTCTGAGTATTCAGATCTTTAGAAATACTTACCTTTTTGGAAACTACACAGAGTTGTTCCGCTGGGAGGTAGTCAAAAGGAAAAACAAATCTCCAGTTGAAGTTCCCTTCACCATCCAGTGATCGATAGTGAACATCAGTTTTCTGCTTATTTTCTTCATTACCAGGCATCCATCTGAAAATACAGAGAGATGTGTCTGATGTTTGCAGTGGGACTGCACTGGTGCTTGTTTGTACTGTGACTGTGTCATTGAGCAGTTGCAAACAAGCTCTAAGAATTGGTCACAGAGGGCTGGGGAGTTTTTCACACCTTTCCTCAGCTTGGTTCCAATGTGGCACTGTAAGTAGGACCATCTGAACAGAATTTCTGATCTGCTAAGACCAGTATTATATCAGTGGTGAGTTACTGGCATGGTTTTCCTTATTTTCTTTTTTTTCAGGAGAAATTAGACCAATAGCCTAGTAGTCTATTCCTCTGATATCTATTGAATTTTTTACATTAAGACTAGAAAATGTAAAAAGTAAGAATCCAGGTTATGCAGCCAAAGCTAGCTTACTATCTTTTCAGTTGCTTCCCACCTCAAGAGGTGAACTTCTGCAATGTTTTACTACACCTTTAACTGGTCATACTTTCACAGAATCACAGAATGTTAGGGGTTGGAAGGGACCTCCAGAGAACATCGAGTCTAACCCCCCTGCCAGAGCAGGACCATCTAGTCTAGGGCAGGTCACACAGGAACACATCCAGATGGTTCTTAAAATTCTCCACAACCTCCCTGGGGAGCCTGTTGCTGTGCTCTGTAACCCTTACAGTAAAGAAGTTCTTCCTCATGTTGAGGTGGAACTTCCTGTGCTCCAGTTTGTATCCATTGCCCCTTGTCCTATCACAGGGCATAAGTGAGAAGAGGTTGCCCCTTCCTTTATGACACCCAACCCTCATATATTTCTGCACATTAATTAGATCCCCCCTTAATCTTCTCTTCTCCAGACTAAACAGCCCCAGGTCTCTCAGCCTCTCCTCATAAGGCAGGCGTTCCAGTCCCCCACTCATCTTCGTAGCCCTCGCTGGACTCTCCTGAGTAGATCTCTGTCCCTCTTGAAATGGGGAGCCTAGAACTGGACACAATATTCCAGGTGAGGTCTCACCAGGGCAGAGTAGAGGGGCAGGAGGACCTCCCTTGTTCTGCTGCATACATTTTTCTTAGTGCACCCCTGGATCCCATTGGCCTCAAGGGCACACTGCTGTCCCATGGACAACTTATTGTCCACCAGGACTCCAAGGTCCCTCTCGACAGAGCTGCTCTCTAGCAGATCTCCTCCTAACCTGTACTGGTGCATTTTATTACTCCTGCCCAGGTGCAGGACTCTGCACTTATTCTTGTTGAACCTCATTAGGTTCCTCTTGGCCCAGCTCTCCAGTCTGTCCAAACCTCACTGAATGGCTGCACAGCCTTCAGGTGTGTCAGCCAAACCTCCCAGTTTCACATCATCAGCAAGCTTCCAGAGAAGACTTTATCTCATAATGCTTCTGTATTCCTCTGAGGTTAGAACTGTTTCAGAAGCTGTCGTGTGCATTGACTTGTCTGAACCAAATCATCTTTGGAACCCATAATCTAGGCATTCCCAGGACATTCTGAACAGCATTCATTTCTAAGTGTTACATGACAGGGTGCTCCTACCCCTTCACATAAATGTCGCTCATTTCTTCCCCTGTGATGCTCTTTTCATCCAGAATGACATCTTTGGTGTTCCAGACAATTACCCGCAAGATATACCTAAGAGAGAAGATGTTTGGGAAAAAGAGAATTGAATTGCCTTTTCCAGGGCTGCCAGATGGTGTGTAGTATATACACATACTCACTTCTTGGCTTTTCGGGGAGTGATGTTGAAGGGAGGGCCTGGTGGTCCTAAGCTTTTGGGGAAAACGTCAACCCACATCTGGAGCTTTCCCTGTAGCAGTGGAGAAGATGGATGAGGGATTGTTCATTGCATACAGGTTTGTCATGGTAATTCCACGGAGCTAATTATTGGCATGCTTAGTACTAATTTTAGTAACAGAGCAGAGCTCGCTCATGTTACCAGTGTCAGAACTTGTACAGATTTCAGATAGGAGCAAACCCAATCCTTCATGTTATATAAGTTTCTTCAAATAAACAAAGCCAAAAATTAAGAATATGGTAGGGATGTTAATTCCTAGTGAATTCAGTGCAAGGTAGGTGCCTAAATATTTGTTGTTCTGTATGTCCAAGTTTCTGTTTTCTCAGAGGTGGTATCAAGTACAGTGTCATGTGTGTGGTTGATAGTTTGCAGCTGGAGGCCTACCCAGTGCAGATGATCAGTTCCCTTAAGTAAAGTAAACTCTGAAGTAAGGCAAATGCTGCAGATTTTATACTCTATTTCAAATGCAAGCCCCTTTATTTTTGCAGATAAGTTTTCGGGTTGCTGCAGAAGCTTTCTTAAAAAAACCCAAATAATAGTGAGTTAGTAAATGCTAGAAAACAAATGTTAGCCTTCGCTCCTCTCTAATAGAGAGGTCCAGTATGACTTTGTGTTTAAACTAGCATCTCTGGGTCCTGCAGAGAAATTGCAAGTTTGGTCTCATTTGTGGAATGTAGCTAGGAAGTTTCTGAGCCAGGCTGTGTCTGTTATTGTTGGTGAGGGATTAAACACATTTTCCAGTTTCCTTCAGTAACAAAGCAATAATAAATCTTTCCCAGTTTCCGCTCTGTCAGTGTTTAAGGTGTCATTTGAGGATCTCAATGGCAAAACATAACTTCTTTTTGTTACATTTCTAGACTAACCTGCTTTATTTTCTCAGCCAAGTAATATTAATTAGTAGCCGTGTTCCCCCCGAGTGATACCACTCTACTGACAACATTATATAAATACAGGAACGCTCCATTTCTGTATTTCAGAAACCAGAAGTAAACTGGTTCACAGTACCTGGGAGATGTTGGGCTGGAAGGTGCTGTATAAGGTCCTCGTCTCCACATGTTCAGGTACCAAACCTTGGGTTCTAAGGATGTGAAGGGCGAGCCGCTCTTCACTGGGACCAAGATGCTGATGCAAAATTTTGTTAGCTTCTGAAATAAAAGAAATGGAAAAAGATCAGCATTTGCATTTGGACTTTTTTTTAAAAAAGTAAAACTAGGTATTTAAAACTGAGCAGAAAACTGTTCAACATAAAAAAAAATATATTTTCTAATTTTCCATAAGTAACTGAAAAGTTTTATATTTGTATCAATATGAATTTTAAACAGAAACATGAAGTAAATGATCAAGCTCACCAGCTTCCTCCAAAGTATAGTCTCGTCCGCCGTAGTTAATCTTTCTGCCATTCTCAGAGAGGACAGGAGGAGCATAGCCTTTGAACCTGGCTACATTTTGCAGTAACTGGGTTGGTTTTAGCTGATCACGCCAGGTGTTCACACCTGAACTTTTAGGAAAGCAACAGAAAGATGTCCTAAAATCATTCACCATTCAGGACATTTACATGCCATGTAAAATGTATTTATTAAACAAATTCAGAAAGGTCAGCACTGCAACTACTTAGATTGAGGCCACTTGCATTTGATACAGTGACATAATTTTGTACCAGCTCAACTACCTTCCAAGACAGAGTGCTTTTTTTCTTTACATACCAAAATTTATGCTAACAGATGCTTTTATGTTTATTTCCATGAGTAGGCCAGAAAATTAGTAAGTGTATGTTCTCTGGACAGAAATAACTCACATCACCATATAAAGAGAATATTAAAATGTTTGAGGTCACGGTTTTCAGCCAAGGCTCTTTTGAAGACTTCGCAGCTTAACTTGGTCCTACATCTTGGAGATTAAAATTTTGAATAGACCAAATGACTTACATGCAGTACTGCTGTGGGATGCCACAGTGAGATCCATAACGAGAAAGGAATCTGTTCTCAAGATCAATTATGGTTTCACCCACTTTTTCATCACGAGTCAATGTGTCATAGTCATAGACTGAAATTTTCAAATCCTTCTCTTGAGGCAAGAAGCAGCTGAGTTCGTACATTCTAAACATAAAAATGTCCAGTTAATGCTATTGCTCTTTTGAGCAATAAGTTTTATTTTAAAACTTAAAATATAAACTTAAAAAAAACACTTTTTGGTTTACTCTTGAGCAATACTTTTTACAAGATATTAAAGGGATGCTTCCAGTGCTGATAAATCTAGCAGTAGTTACCACTCAGATTCCATTTTCTATTTGCACTTAATTCTGCTGCACAGAATTATTTCCTTCCTTTCTGCACAGTGTATTACTTAGATGTTTTCTGTGAAGCAGCATGAATTGGGACTGAGAAAGAAACCAGTGTGGCTCTGCCAGCCACTCTGTAAAAGCGATGGTTGTTCAGTCCATAGTTTCTGTATGAGTAGAACTCTAAGTTTTTTTGCCACAATACAAACACAGTTGCAGCCTTAAAAGATATGCTCCAAATGTTTAGTTTCTATGACTAGAAAGATTATTCTGTCATCTAGCTATCTTACACAAAACAGACTGTAGAGTTTTCTCAAATTAATTTTCAGAATTTACTTCCAAGGTACACAGCCTCATGTTCTCTTTCTACTGCTGCTAAATCCATTACCCTTGAAGTAAAGTATTTCATGGTTAATTCTTCTCTGCATCTTTTTGTTTTGTTTCTAGTCTAACTTTTTAACTTTGACTTTCAGAATAATTCTGGGAAAACTTGGAATTTTGAAGGTACTTTATACATGTAATCAAGTCTCTTTGATGTCTGTTTCTTTGCATAATCTGAACAATTGAAATCCTGTAGCATGTCATTCCAAAGCATGCTTTCAAAACTCCTTATAATCCTTCTAGTCCTCCTCTCCCAACTTTCTAATTTACACAAATCCTCCTCTAACTCTGAATACCAAACCAGACCCAGAATTTCATTAGTAAAATTTCATTATAAAGATGCTGTAATCTCTCCATTCCTCATTAGTATTTTTCTACTCAAATATTTCAAAGTTATCATTAGCCTTTGAAGGAAAGACCAGTGTACTGTCAGTATGTTAAGCTGATTACTCATTGTGACATCCAAATAGTTTTCAGAGTTAAAACTTTTTCCATATTTTAGAAATATATTTTGTTATTCTTGTATGTAAAACACAGGGCAGTTTTAAGATATATGCATTGTTTGTCTTTGTTCACGTTAGCCATGTGATTCAGAAAATCTATAGGCTAGCCAAACACCTGTGCCATCCAGCAATTTGAAAGGGAAATGTCTTATGCAATTTACTCACGATTTACTGTCAATACATAACAATGAATAGAACACTGAATATTTCAAATGCTGGTTTATCTTAAAAAGTAGGAAAACATTGAAAATACATTAAACTGAAAATACAAAAAAGTTCGTTACCTGCCAAAAATTGGGTTGAGAGTATTTGGCACATAATTATCTCTGTCTTCAATTACTTTTTTACTTAGGGATATTTTTATGTAGGGATCACACTATTTAAAACAAGAAAAAAGATATAAGGAATAAATAAAATTAGTCTTGATAACTAAAATACAGTACAGCGGAGTTAGCTCACAGACATTTCAAAAGCAGAAAGTCTCACCAGCCCATTATTATCTTGGGGTTGAAGCTGCAGAGCTCGCACGATATAAATCCGCACAATACACTCCTGAGGCCCGCTGTCTGGTAGCTCCCGGAACTGGCGGGGGGGAGCTGGAACACCGGGATCATCAGGTAGTGCATAGATTTTAAAGGACCCCTAAAAAATAACGCAAAGACTCAGTCATGGTAAATAAGTAGAAAAGTCGCTCTGCTAGGTTTGCTTCTTATTTATCCTACACATAAACACACTGTTTTATATAGCATAGCAAAACTGTAGCCTAATCCGCAGTCACCTAGAAGCCATTTCTTTTAATTTAGTCGCTTTTGGATAAGACCTACTACAAAGGCAAGGTTATATCCTTAATGTATTGAAATTAATGGAGATCTTTTGATTTCAACACAATTACTCAGTTTACTCCAGCTGCGAATATGTAACACATACTTTATATTTTTTTCCCCCTCTCAAAATTCATAATTAAATTTTTTTTCTTACATACCACATGACCATTATTTTAATCTCTAAAGGTCACAGAATCACCGAAATAATACAAAATACTTTTTCCAAATTCCCAAAATACCTTTTCCAAATTCATTCCATAAATGTACTTCACTCCGAACATCTCCAGGTGAAACTTTAGCCCTGTTCTAGAGGTTATCTGTGAGGGTTCTGTCCCATAGGTAACAGAGAAGATCACATTGGCAGGAATCGTATTTCTTTTAAATGAAACTATCACATTTAGTGTGAGCAATGTGTAGCTGTACCTGCCTTGAAAAAGAAGGGCCTGTACCCAAATACGGCATCTGTTGCCTGTTAATGCATGCATCCATATTTAAGCTGAAATATTTGCATGTTGACTTACTTAAATGATAACCACTTATGTACAAAAGACTGCATCTAGAATTTGGTCGTTGCCCATTATTTGAAATTTACCTTGAATTCCCCAACTACTGATGGATCATCACCATCCTCAGATTTGCCTCTGTATAGTTTAAATGTATCACAGAAGTCTGTTAAGCTATTAAATTCAGGTACTTTTTCCAATTCGCAGTCATACACCTTAAAGAAAAAGGAAAATTAAAAAAAGTGCAGTTTTGAAATTATCATATATATATATATATATATATCAGCTCCACCATTGTGGCAATTCAAAGTGTATTGTATGATGGAATATCTTAAGAAAACAGTGCATTTGGAACCTTTTTTTTTTTTTAAATTGAAATGGAAGCAAATGCAATGTTTGGAGAACATGCTATCAAGCTTCACTCAGACCTTGTTAAAAAAATGAGTATAAAACATTTCACAAGCTCATCTTTACTTTCTTCGTTAGGTGTATTAGATGAGAAACAAAAGTGGACTGACTTCAACTTTCAACCAACAGACAGTAAAAGGTATTGATCCTCTGTGTTCATACTTTCTCAACGTTTATTTAGAATCTGCCTGGCACCTAAAGATGTCAAGAATAAAATTCCATTTGACTGAAGGTTAAACTCTTTACTATATCTCTTAGTAAGTGTAGTTAAGTAGAAAAGAAGCAAAGGTATCTTCCTAAAGCCTTCATTTTGCCACATGAAATACTAATGGACCTTTACAGGAAACCAGGCACAGTTAAATTCTGATGAGTAATTAAAAAAAATAAAGGGCACAGAGCTCACCAGGTTTGGGCCTATAAACACTGAGATATGTTAATTTATTTTATCCTGAGCAATACCTTTAAAGTGTCATATCCCTTTTTAATATACTGTCCGCATTTTTCATGTTCTCCTACTGAAGCATAAAATTTGCTCCACCAATCAACAATTTCTTCCTCCTTAAAGAAAAGCAAATAAAAGTCTTTTAGTGAGAGATACAGCCTCTTCTAGATCATGCTGTACAGCAGAAACAATGAACAAAAAACAAGTTTTGGAGTATACTAAAGCTTCATCTGAAAGATAATTAGTAAATATTATGGGTAAAAAGATGGAATTTCTCTTACCCAGGTTTACATATCTAGTCTATAATCCAGCTGTATTGATCATCAGCAGCAGCCATATCCAAGCAAGCAATTAACTACTGGTATCTAGAGACCTAGCTCAAAGGACTGATTTCTGGATGCATGTATATTTCTCTTCTCCACTCTCTGGCAGCACTGCACAGGGCAACCACCTAAGTTCTAGATTACTTCAGTGAGAGGAAGTGAATGTAGTTAGCTGGTGTAGTCATTGCTTCAGCTGTTAAGGAAAAACACCATCGTACCCGGTACTCGTTACAGAAATTGTATGACTAAAAAACTAGAGAACCTGTTGAAAACTTTTTCCAAGGGATAAAAGTCGTAGCTTGCTTTCAGCATTCCCATTTATTTCAAAACCCTTACCATACAACAACACTGGGACAGACCTGTAATGGCTCTAACCATACATTGTTCTATTAAAATTGAGATTATCTGTATTGTGTCAGAACTTTGCAGTTGGAGATCCACCTAACATTTACCAATTGCAGTTGAAAAGGAGCAGGGCGTCTTGCCCTCTTAAAAATTATACTTCAGTAAGCCTTGTGAAATCCTAGATGCTAGCTATCTATACGTTCCATTGAGACAGTATTTCTGTGGGTTTTTTAAAAAATATTTTTATTTACTTGAGTCTGATAATCACTTTGTTCAATGGAGTGCTATCTTCTGTATTTATCCATAGTGATTGTATAACATAATCATTTGCCCCTGAAAACATACTTCTGTTGGTAGTGAACAGTATTAGTTCACTGTAAATGCAGAGAATGAATGGTATTCATTCACTACGTAAATTTGAAAAAAAACTTTAAAACTGTTTAGATTTAAAGAGAGTCTGAAAGTATTATAGAGATGATTAAATGAGAGGAATTTTGGTTTTATAAAAATATCTAGGGGTTATTCTTTCAGTCTTGCATATTTTTCTTAAATTTACCATTTTACGAGTGGATTGTAGGTTTTATGTCAAACACCTTCACAGATTACCATTCTTATCCATATGGTTAAAATGCTAATGTAGGAAGCCATACTGATAGACTGATTTTCAGCTGGAGATCTGCCGCGTTTACAAGAAAGCAATGAGTAGATTTTTAAAATTAATATACTTTACCTTTTCTGTAAGCTGCTCATGAGGATCAATTCACAAAAAAAAAGAGCAAAATAAAAACAACGGTAAGGATACAATTTGTAGAATTTTATACAGTTAAATAGGTTTTAAACGTTTAGGTTTTTGCATACATACTATGTATGAAATTACTAACATCAATAATTTAAAAATACTTCTGAAGATTATTCAGACACCTTGCATTTAACTTTTTTTTCCTTCTGTTAGTATGTTCTAGATATTAACTGAAACATATATACACAAATTTTAAAAAGCAAGTTTTCAAGACTATAAGACATTATCACCCTGTGCTTCGCTCTTCACATAACAAAGCAAACAGAGGGAAAACTGGTTTTTTTACTCTTATCATTGTAATATTACACTCTGGATTCTATTTGTTGATTTTCACAGTAGCATCATTGCCTCCTTCCATCTGTCGTTAGAGAGAGCACTGGATCTGGTTTATTTCAGATGAAAAATGTTTTTAAGAGCACTTAAAAAATTGAATCTATTCCAGAGATTCTTTTCCAAATGAATTTCACAAACATAAAACCAAAGTGATTTTTTTCCCTTTTTGAATATTTACTTTGTACAAACAATTTGCTAATGCTCAACAGTCTTTTCTCTTTTCCTTCCACTACTGTTTTTCTGTTGTTTATAGGCTGTGAATTTTCAGGAGTCTGTGAAAAACTGAAGAATTATAAAGCCCAGTAACAGCCTGTATATGTGGCTATAGATTTATCTATATAAGGATAATAATAATCTGCACAATCCAAAATGTTTCACCTGTTAAATCACAGATACCATAATTATGACCCCATAGTCCATTAAGAGCAAGCGTCATGCATCCCATTTAGAAACCATGATTAACAAGTGTGATTTGTGCTACTGTTTGTGTATCATACCTTGTGTTTTAATTTAAAGGCATAATCCATTAATTTTTGTGCAAATCAGAAGGAATATGCAAAACATTTTACAAATACAAGCCAAGTGCATCAATAGGTCAGGATATCACTCCAGTGTATCATACTTATTGACTCCCATTTCTATCCTGTAAATAATTATCTTGCTGGGATGTTCAGGTCTACTGTATTATAGTAATCTTCTCTAACCTCAGATCAGAAATACAGCATAACTTTTTCAGACTTGCATGAGCCTGTCAGATCTTTTAAAGACAACTGGAGCGATTTATTTTCAGAAACAGTATAATCAGTGATTTGCTAAACTCAGAGGCAGAATTTATGAGGTAATTTTGAATCCTTTGCCATATTTAAATTTGACTTTGTTTAAACACTGGTTTGTAATGTTGACAACATGAAGGGTAGCTTGTGTAATTATGCAATAATAATTTAAACTCCCATTTTATAGACTTTTCACAAAATATATTGTGTAGAACTCTGAGACTTTCATCAAAGCATAATGTTGGAAGAGTTTAAATTAGGGTTTGTGGGTTTGGTTGTCGTTTTGTTTTGTTTTTCCTTTGATATAAATTCAGGTATCTCATCAACTAGTGTACTTGGTAGCTTTGGGAAGAAGAGGATAAGAAAAAAAAAAAGGCACAAAACAAAACCCACAAACCTTAAGACCTTTATAAAAATTCGCAAAGCAAAAAATGAGTCTTCAATATATGGATATTATTGTTACTAAAGCTGGTAAGCAGGATGTGCTTTCAGAATGCCAAACCACAGAATTAATGCCATATGATATATTTGAGATTTTGGAGTGAAACATTCACATGGTAAAGTAACAGTTACTGTGCCTTTTTTCAGTGTACCCGGTGACTTCACTGTAGATTGCTATACAGAAAGATTTCAAGTCCCTAACACTGAACTATTAAAACTCTTAACTTTTCTAGGGATCTGTTTACTGATTATTTTATTCTCCAGAAAGTAGACTTTTATACAAAGTTTAAATATTAATAGTGTGGTTAACTAATTCCTGTTGATTCTAGTGCTTTTAGCAGATAGATTCCAAATAAGCTGAATTTTGCAGAGTTCATATATATTGTACACACACAGTAAGACAGAAGAAGGATACCTTCATATTTTTAACTAATCATACTGGACTTATGAGCATCATCTCCTCCAAAATCTCTTTGTGGAGTAATTGTCAAAAGAAGTGCAGCCTCATGATCACATCACATTAACATGCCGCCCCCATCCAACCCCATTCTGGTCATCTCCATGCATTAGCTTGGTACATACATACATACATGCACTGTTGTTGGAGAAGCCATTTTGCTGAGTGCTGTTGACATACTGCTTAAACACTGAAAATTGGAATGTAATTGATGAATTTTTTGCATTTTGTGTCCTCAGAGTGTTGTCTGCATATCACTTTCTACAGTTGTCTTACATCAATCCAAATTATTTTGAATATTCTTTCTTATATGGATGCTGTTACTGTATCTGGTGTTATAATATATTTGGCTTGGGTGATGTCAAACTCTAAAAGAAATGGTGCTTTACCTTATATAGCATTTAAAACTTTCCCTCATATAGTTTAAATCAACTACACAAATTCAATCAATTTTGCCAGTGAGTTCAAAGTGCCAAGTTTTCTTTATTTTTTAATCCCCTCTTAGAAATTTTAAAGGCCCAATTCAGATAAAAGTTAAAGACTGTTCTAAAATAAATATTAAGGACAATTTACTTGTATGATGAAAGTAAATACAAGAACATAGCCTATGAGATACCTAAATTAGAGTCTGAGTATCATGACATTAAGATACAGAAGAAGAAAGGAAGCAAGAACAGTGCAGTCAATGACATAATAGCAGTGAGAGTTCAAAAGTTTACACAGTAGTATTTACTCTGGGATCTCTGTAAAAAAATTAAAAATTCTGCATTGTTGAAAAATAAAAGTTCTGGATTAAAAACCTGCAAGATTACTATATTAAAGGGCATAACTTCTGTACTTCCTTTAAAATAACAGGTCATCACAAATTTATGAAAACACCTTCTAGGTAAGGGGAACTTTTTACAGTCCTAAAATCATAAAATTTTTTTCCTTGAAAATGTACTGTCTGGAATTTGTCTTCACTCATGTTTCAACTCAAGAGTAAAATTCTGCAAGATGAATTTTTTTTTACCTGGAAAGTAAAATTGTACTGTGATGGTCCTGAAAGAATCAGAGCAGTGGAAAGATTCACAAGGCACAACAGAAAAGGAAAGAAAAGTGTTAGTACAGAACAAAAAAAAAAAGTTTCAGTGGTAACTTCATCGTAAGAGAGGAAAAGCCACAACTGTGATAAATCAACAGCTGAAGGTCTGTGTTACCAGGGCTTTGATTCTGTACCACCAAAGTATACACCTACTTTTAGCTCCTTTATTTAAAACCACTTTCTTTGTGCAAAATCAGGCTGCCCTAACTATCACCAGTGGACAACTGGTTAATTTTCTGTCTTATGCTTTCAGTAGCTAATGAATGAATGAATTCATTCTTAAGGTACTAGGCAAACTTTACCATGCACAGAAAGCTACATTTTGGTGCTTACTATAGGAAAATAGAGGTTAAAATTATTAACATATTTCCTTTGCTTTCCTGTCACAAAGTAACTTCGTTCCATCTGGCTTTCCAGAAGGTTGCATATGTTTCTGACAATTTTGCTGTCTAGATAGTTTCTCAGAAATCATAGATCTGAAGAAGAAAGTCAAGCATCAGACTTCAAAGATTACCTGAGCTGCTAGCAGTGGCTGTGTGTCTTCCATTTCAATTACTGTATCCTGGCGAGGTACAGCAGAGAGCAGACTAACTGCAAGACAAAGATTTTATTAAGGCAACATGGTGTAGGAAAACTTACTGAACATTTTAATCAGAATTGAAATCCAAACAGTTACAGAAAATGTAAAATAACTTATTTGCTGTATGTTTGATCCTCTAGAGAAAGCAATGAGTTAGCATTTTTTTGCTAACAATACATGATATTTTTTTGTGCAGAATACGCAAACATTTCTCAAATAAATAGGACTTAAAAGAATAAACCTTGGAAAAAATATAGAGGAAAATGTCGACATTGTATTCAGAGCATTCTTGCTGGAATATTGGATTATTACTATGGTACTTAGTGCAGGGGTAATCTGCAGGAAGTTAAGTTACAAGTTGATAATAAAGAGGAATTTCAAGGAACCAGCACAGTAAGTCTGAGAGTGGACTTGCCTTTGCATTCTGTCCTCTTATGCTCCACAAAATATTGCAGTAATTAATACTCTGAGTTAGATTTATTTTTTTCCCTTTCAGATCACATTATGTCCAAATAAGTACACAACGTGAGCTGGCTATTCATCACTACAGTACACACAGTAAACACTACAGGTAGGTTTTTCTAGCATCTCTTCAGAAAGTAGAACTTTTCTTTTTCCAGCTGTCTACCTTTCAGTTGTGGTGCAACATCTTCTTTGGTAGTATAGGGGTCACAGCGAAATCTTTCCAGCAAATCTATAGTACACTGTCCCACAATGGGCTTCCGTCCAAATGGTCTGTGGTCTATTACTTTAATAACGAGGGATGGACTGTATAACTCCTCTTTTGGCAAAAGCTAAAAATGAAAGGTTAGTTTGTTTATAATGCAAACAGAAGGACAATTTAATGTTTAGTAATGAACTACTTTGTCCTATGGCTGCATGGTAAATTTCTAACCTTGTAATACCATCCCATCAAAGTAGAATAATTTTAATTGCCTCAAATATTGAATTTTCTTGATTCTTGCACAGCTCCTATCCTAGCAGTAGGAAAGCAGCCACACATCTACAGGTAAATTAATGCCCTTTCAAATAAATACACTGGATTGTGCCTATAAAATTGTATAATTTATCAATGACTGTACAGATATGTTTACACGATTCTTACTAGAATTTCCAGGCTCAGTAAATTGCTTATAAGTCAAAAAAGGATATGCAAGTTTTTCTGTAAATTCTTGCAAAACAAATCCTTGACCTTTAAAAGTATGGGCTAACTGATTTTGCTAGAGATAGCTGGTATACAGTTTTTTACAACGTACAACTCTCAAGAAAAGAACAGAAGATGGAAAATTTGGTGTCTTCTTGAGGTTTTTGATCACCACAGATTCCACCATTTCACTCCCACATTCCACAATGAGACTTGGAGACGTGACAGGCGCCAGTTGGTAGTTTTTCATGTTCCGCAACCCCCAAGCCAGAATCTGTAAAATAAAATGCAGAAGTGGCAGAGATATCAAAATGCTTGATATGATACTTGAAAAGTAAGAAAGAAGAAATTGTCTTTTCAATAATAAAATCTGAATGACAAAAAATATCTCATAGTTGTTGTACTAGGAAAGCTAATGAAAAAAAAAAAAATTAAAAAAAAGTTCCCCATATTTCTCTCATTCTATGAAATATTTTTTTTTCAGAAGATATGCAAACTTACTATCTAGATCATGAGATGACTGTACTTGTATTCAGCTAATTTAAGAATAAACCATACCTCAACAGCAGTGAGTTGGACTACAGGTCTGATTCCTTGAGGTACCATGTAAAGCTTTGGTGCTCTTTGTGATGGAAGAATTGGAAGGTTGGCACCACCCTATTAAGACATAAACATGAGTATTAGATTCTCTCATCTTCCTTAAATGAAACACCTTGCAAATATTGACAACTCTTTGCATTATGACTCACTGTGAAAGGATATATGTCATATTGTATTATATATACACAAAAACAAACAAACAAAAAAGTGTATACCTTGTCCCTCAAAATAAGTTCTGCAGCAAAAAGAATGTCTCCACTAGCTTTGCCATTATTTATTACAGGATACCAGAGCAGTTTTGGTGTGACATCCTCTTCTGGGGTTAACTTGACCATGGGGGAACAAACACTTCTTCCAAGGAATTCATCTTTACCCTACACCCGAAATAGCAATCATAGCCATTAATGGTATTGTCAGTTAAGATAAATAAATTTAAAGGCAATCAGGGCAAAAAGAATTAACCTACCACTTGGTCACTGTCAAAAAGTTCAATAACAGCTTTAGGTGGGTTTTGGGCTACTGTCTGTGGGTCCCCATAGATCTCAATTTCATTAAATATGAGAGTTTGGTCCCATGTAGGATTTAGAGTTGAATGAATGATCTCAGTTGTTTTGCTTTGATGGAGGAAAGAAACATGAGCGTATGGATCTGAAACATCACACAAAGATTAAAAGTGTAGAGTTACAAACAAAACTCTGTCAAGACAAAATGTACACAAGCACAATTTTAATCCAGTATAATTTTATTTTTCTTCTGTTCTGTAAGCCATTCTATATAAAAGCCCACACATACACATAATTTATATTTAATAAAGCAAATTCAATTTAATTACTAAATAGCTTCCTATATACAAATCTTAATCAACAAAGTAATAAATGAAAATGATAAAATATTGTAAATCAGAAAGAGAACTTGAAAACTAAAATGAAAGGCTGGCTATGCTAATCTCCTCTTGAATATTGTCTGTAGAAGTGCTTTTTTTTTGTTGTCTTCATTGATATGTAATTGTACAGCCTCATAAATAATGCAAAGAAATAATTCTGGTTCTGACTAGCTGCCAAACAATGTTTTCAGGCTGTATTGCTCAAATTAAGCTTTAGTTTCAAATATGCTTACAGCAACCTCTTCTTGTGAAACAGCTGAATGATTAAAGTGGTCTAGGCCCAATATTTGGCAGGTCTTTAAATCATCATGAGCTCTGTAGAAGGTATCTGATGATAGTCACTAAGATTTCCTGTACAAACTGCAATTACTAAGAACTAGAGGCAATTTTAAAGGTTATCTTCAGGTCACTTTCAACAGCTTCTGGCTAGGATTTTAAAAGGTTTGACTAACTCTTCAAACTAGAGAAAAATAAAACGTGGAGTTTATTTGTAACTGCATCTGAGGTACCCATCTTGAATTCTACATATGCAGATTAGAGGCATTTATTATTGCTTCTTTGTATGACTTTTAAATGCTGCATATTGAAATATGACCAAATACACACAAGCAGCTGTACAAAAAAACCCCTAATTTCAGTAAAAAGCACTAAAATGGCTATAGCCCTATATTTCCTGTAACAAATTAACAAATGCATTACACTTACTCAATTATTAATTAAATTAAAACAGGGAGAAAAAGGATGCAAATGGTGGTTGATGAGGAAAGAAAATTCTAAGCTACCCATTTCATTTTTTATCTTTGGTTGAACGTATTTAAAGGAAGTGTAAACTCAGTCTTACAGAATCTAATTTCAGTTTGCTCTCAGACTTCCCAGTGGAATTTTAATTCTGATTAGCAAAAATTAAATACTTGATAACCTGAGTTATTAGTGTGGCTACAAAGATGTGAAATGGCTAGAACACTGTTGGAATACTTAAGAGCTGTAAATAAAGGGCCAACATTTACTCTTTTATAAACAAACAAAAGCCATGCTTATTAGTAAGGCACACTGTAGTTTCTTGCAAGTTCATCTCAGTAATGAATTAATCTGAAATCCTGAACACTGGGAGGCAGTTGGTAACGACCATCCAGCCTTCTTGACTCTTGCTTTTGTGCAAGCTTCCTGCAGAACAGCTTAGGAACTATATGTAGGCTTTGGTTAGAAGGAGAAGCCAAGGCATAGGGAAGGGACTGGTCATGGGAAATTCAGACCTTATTTGAGTTCCCATTCCCTTTGTGAGCATTTGTTGGCAGCAGCAGGTGCCGCACATTCAGAGCACTTCTTTTTTGGCAGCTTCTGGGGCAATACTAACCAAATCTGGATAATCATAGAATCATAGAATCCT